AAAGACTATCGCCGTGGGAATGTTCTTGTTTTAGTGACGCGAACTATCGCGCACACCATAAAAGCTGACGCGACCAATCGTGTTCCTGCTACACAAATGAGAATGTTCCGAAAACATTCCTATAGAATCCTGCAGAGGGACCCCCAAGCTCCCGCTATCCCTGCAGTAGCGCTGGGGTGCAAGGGCTTCCCCTCTTGTCTTCATTCGAATCCTTTCAACTCCTGGCTCGGGCTCTGCCGAGCGTCGTGTGTAGGGAAGCGGCATCAAAGAGACGGTCCACAGCCTTTGGGCGACTCAGAAGATCAAATTTCGTCCCTCCGAAATATGCACTAAAAAGGTCATGGTTAAAACGTATTTGGATTCATGGATTGCGCGTGGTCTGGGATTGCAAACCTTGCTAGAACCCTCAGGCAAGGTCAAGGCCCAGGCGTCTGCAATGACGTCACCATGACAATGACCATGCGAAACTCGCCGTGATCTGACTCAGCAAGGCGACCTACAAGACGTTCACACGATCACGTCACTCACATGACTCACAACTGAGGGGCTGCAGCAAGCCAAAAGCTGATGGCACACGGCACACTTCTTAGCGTAGGAATCTCGGAAAGCACCCATACTGGTTGACACCACAACCTTCTTGACTTCTTGCCAAAAGGAGGAACGCTTTCTTGAACACTTTGAATTAAACTTGTTCCCTCCCAACTCCCGAGGCGCTCATCAACTGGAGTTCTGCGTTGCTTGGCCTCCCGCGGGCCCTCTTCAACTAAGTCCCTGCCTAGCCATGATGTGTGCTTCTCCGACTCGAGCATTCGATGTTGGATCTTGGTGTGATCCATGTCCATTGATCCTAGCTGCGATTCGGTCTCGGGGCTGTAGGGAATATTGGTTGCAAATGTGTGCCGCTGTTTAAAGATGCCGTACTTCGAGCATGTGCCAGCGCGTCTATGCGAGCTTCACGCAATGGCCCCAAGTTCCTGTTCCGGGGTGCTGCTTCAAAAGCAGTTCCCAGCTTGCAAAATCTGCAATCCCTTGTTCATGAGGCGGATCTTGTCGCAGCTCAGTCAAGTCACGAAGCGATCGGATCAAGGCCGTCAAGAAGCCCTTGGACTGGTTCTCAACCATTTGGAAAGAATGTCATGGTACATACATATGTCTTGGACATGGCGGGCCACCAGCATAGGCAACGGATGTGGCTAACACTTTTTTCAGTGAAGGTCTGTTCAGTCTTGGCGAGTGCCGCTGTGTCTTGGAATACAAATGACAAAACAGGAGAACACGCTTTTGAAACTAGGGCGGCTCAGGTTTGGTTGGTTCGTGCACTACAAAATTGCTGCGTTGTAGTTTCCTTGCATTTACACATCGTCATTGGCCGGGCTGATATCAGAAAACGATCCATCATGGTGTGCAGGATATGCTGAGTGCTACATCTCCACAAGTTCCTCCTCAAACACAAGGTAGGCCCAGTGGCGAACACCAGAAACGCAAGACCCAGGAAGGGTCCCGCCCAAGCCAGCGCTTCGTCCACGCTTCTGCAAAGGTAGCACTCACCTGGGGAGGGGCTGACAGTCAGGCTGCCACTGCTGATCTGCATCTTAGCTCTTCTTTGCAGAGCCCGCTTCTTCTTGTAGTCCGTGCCAACTGCTGGGCGGTCGTACTAAAATTACTGAGCCTTGTTACCACCCTGGGCCCGCATCAGGACGAGATCTAAGTACCTTCCCAATTGCAGCCTGCGGGCTCTGATGCGCAAAGGCATCAGCATGGCACTGCCCACAGCGGACAGACGTGGGATCTCGTGCATCTTCGCAGCGATTGGGATCTGGGATTCGGATGGCATTTTGTGGAGAGAAGGTGCAAGCTGCATTCAACCGAGCTGAGCGAGTTTTAGGTAAAGCAGCATGAAAGTGCCCTACCTATTGGATTCCTTGGCACCCGTCTTCAACACAGCATACAGAACTGATGCACAGTTGTCGAGCGTGCCCACTAAAATGTTGAGTGTGGGGGAAATGTAGGATAACTGCAGGATATGCTATCCTGACCCACCGAGGGCAGGGCCCAGCGCATCTCCTGCAACAGCCGGGCACAGCAAAGGCGAAAGGTGCTGTTATGCGCAACAACAGTTTGTCATGGAGCCAGGAAGGTCTCGCCAGCACCAATGCCAGCTCAGTCCACCCTTGTCTGCTACTCGCGGTGGCTGTGTCCCATAGAAAGTCATGTTCCTTCCCACTGTGCCAACATCTGTGGTATAACCAACCGGCCATGCGATAACAATGTATCCCCCTTGAGTAGATGTGCTGGCTTGCAAGATGCCAACAAAACCTGAGTGCCATCCACCAAGATCTATCAAAGCAAACTCCCTTCCCCACCTTGAAGGCACGCGTGTGACGGGAAGCAAGGCCAGAAGATAAGCCTCGACATGCTTAGGGAGTGGCAGTTTACGGCTTGGAGGGACGTTCTTCTTGAAGAGCTTTGACCCGACCGCCCCAGCGTTGTGCCTGTCTGGCGTCCAGTACCCAACCGAGGAGTACGGCAGGATCGGCCCGCCCTCGCCTGGTGCGAAGGCAACTGTGCAGATTCGGGACGCAGGAGCTTAGTCAAGCGCGTTACGATCAACCAGTTCCTAGTGAGATTGCAAAGAACTTCTGATTGAATCACGAGTTGCAAATGGCCCCAATCGGACAGGCCCGACAGACGCCGTGGTTGCCTGCAAGATCCCAGTCCTTCATAGGTGCGCGAGTTGGGCAGGGCGCTGAGGCAGGTGTCAAAGTTGAAATCTTCCATGAGCAGTCAAACTGACTAAAAGACAAACCTATATGTAATAACTTTGAGGCCACAGCTATAACACAAGACGCCCCAGCCACACATACACAAGCACCGTAATGTATGTTCGGGATACTTGAACTCAATATAACTCAATCAAGCATCGGCGCCACTGTTGGTGCGGAAGTAGCCAGGCATACAGTCGCACGAGCTGATACTCGTGGCGCCGGTGATATTGGTCGTCTCATGTTCCGGGCAAACAGTGCACGCACCTGACTAGTGAGCGGGACCATGCTTCAAAGAATACTTGAGGATTCCGTACGAAACTCCTTCTTCCACCTCTGCTTCAACCCAGAATATTGCTGGGCAGCCCCCCTCACAAGCCGCAAACTTAGAAATCTGGAGATGCAGTGTGCTCATTTCACCGCACAGTCCTGAACCTCAGAGCCAGGGCACCTGCACCAAAAAGGCCCATGTAAAAGCCGATGTCGCATGTGTTGCACGCCAACGCTGGGCCCACGCCACCTGAAGGCAAGTTGTAATGACTTCAAAATTCAAGCTTTCTGGGGGGCGCCTTTCCTATCCTCTCTTGAACTACACCCAGGACAACATCACACAAAAGAAGCTGTGCCAACTCCAGAATTCTGCAAGAACCGGCACTTAAGTGCCGAGCAGCTTTTGTACTTGCCTGGGACACACTGGATGCAGTCGGTGCCTCAAGAGAACATGCATCTCTCACAAAGTCCTTGCTGCATGTGCCCTATCTTTGGGCTCGCGATTCAGGTCTGGGCAAGCACCGTTCCAGCATCCCAGACCCCGCTACCACCGCTCACGTCTGCAGTAAAGGCACCTGTATAGCTGCTTCGCCTTTCCCCCGCCGGGCAAGGCTTCAGCCGCACAGCTTGCCACTCCCTCCAGAGGTAAAGGGCATGCCGACCAACAACATGACGAAACACACAAACCCACCCCCTAGCGCTAACATGTTTGTCGGAGAGTGTTGGGTTCGTTGAGAGATTGGAGCTATAACAAACAACTCAACATAGAATAATCCAATCCTTCTTGCTCCACTTCGTCGTCTTTTTTTGGAAGCAGCTGATTCTTTCACAGTAGATGTGCCTCAAGACATCTTAGGAGTGCACCTCTTTGGACTCCTGCGGACGGAAACACATCTAAACTGGCGATTCCTCCCGCAGGAAGTCAACTAAATCTGAGACTCGCGCCTCAGCTTTATGCCATGTGTTCTACTACAAATCCCACTTGATGCTCACAAAGAAAAGCAAGGACAGATACGAGGATCGCTGGTTCAAGCGCATTGGCGACAAGAGTTATTTCGTGCTAGGCGCAAGAAAACACCAAAGAGACGAGTCTTCCAGGACAGGGCAGTTGCAGATGCCAGTGCCAACATTTCAGCATCCTACTTATCCTACTCTCCCATCAAACCGCAAGAGGCCATAGCTCTCCCTTCACGTGCTCAGTTTGAAAACAGAAAAAGCTGATCCACAAAGTCAAAGCACAGCGCGAAAATCCCTCGCTTCGTAGCCCTCTTCTTAACAACAGTGTGCATGCCGGAGGCTTTGAAGACGCCCTGGGTATAGAGCCTAACCTGGTGGAGCATCTTCAGTCCGCTGCACATGTTCTCTACTTGTTGTTGATTTGGAGAGCATCTGTTCAAGGCTGCCACTGTCGCTATGTCTGCACGCTGGACAACTGAATAAAGCTCCCCAAGCTCAGCATAAGCGGGCGTGAATCGACTCCCCAAGAAACGCAAAATGTGCAAACCCAATGTTGCTGCTTCCAGAAGTAAGAGTTCAACTCTCGCAGACAAGGTATGTAAGCCTTGTGTTCCTGTTGGAGCGCCATTTGCTCTTCACACTACGTAGATTTTGAAAACACGCAAGCCATGCATACCAGCCTTGGCATGTGCGCACATCCGAGCTCAAACGATGACAGCATTTGTTGTTGCTGCGGCTAGTATGAAATGCCCCCTGTTGCACAGCACGACGCGGGCCTCATTATCTTTTTCCACTTACACAGAAATGGTCCATCTGAAGCTGCCACTATGCACTCTTTCACAATGCAACTCAGCTTGACTTAGCCCCTCTTACCTGTACCTGGCATTACGGTGAAAGCCTCTGCAGATTGCAGGAGAGGTTGACAGGCCCGCCTCGTCAGTGCTGACAAATTCTGGGGACGGCTGCCGCAGGTCTCATTAAGCCTGGCAGGATAGCCAGCAGCAAAGAGTGTAGGGAGTGTAGGGAATAATACAAAGTTTCGAGGGATTATGGATGATTCCAGTGGATTATTGGGATGTTGAGCTTACTGCGACTTGGGACTCCAAATTGCACTCCAGACTTACAGGGCTAAGCGCTCATGGCCCATGGGCCTACTTACATCTCTGGACTTTAACTACCCGTGAACCTCCGAGTGTGCGTGTCGTGGAAACTGACAAGCCCGGCTACAAGTCTGCAAATGCAATGCAGGCCTGTAATGCTTCAGGTAAACAATTGAAAGCCTACTGTGCAAACCGAATGCTTAAGCACTGCTTAAGCCTATGCTCCACGCGCCAGGTTGCACAGAGTGCTGAAACCTGTGTGCTAGCAATTCAGTGTCGATGCCCTTGCTGCGGCCTTTGTAGGATGCTGCAATCGAGCCTTATCTGCGCCATCACAGCTCCACAAATAACGAGCTGCCTAGTCCAATCTTTGCGAGCAAATGGCCAGTACGCTTGGCTGTAAATATGCCCTTAAATACAACCAGTTCACATCATCGGCGAAAGCCGTCACAAATCAGGAGCACTTTCGATGCCAGCTCAAAGGTTCAGCTGGGCAGCTCATAAAACACCGAAAAGGCCACAGGAAGCTGTGACAAGCTCAGTGCCAACCTGGCAATGTAGCTTTGTGTTGCTGATGCGGACTTTGATGCCATGCTTTAATTCTTGCTTTTCAATCCAGACGATGGCAACTTCATCAAAGCTGGACAGCACAGAGAATTCCCAAAGCGAGGGATCCTCCTTCAATCCTCAATGACTCTCTGTCAAGCTCTCATTCCTGGGGCTTCTTACATCGACGCAAAATGCTGACCTGACAGTAACCTGACCAAGCCATGAATTCAATTTGGCCATGATACCAACGTGGCTGGCTTCAAGGAGCCTATATGATCCTCCAGAGGGAGCCGAGAACGACTTTGTAATACCCCTGGTACTTGCAGTGGATTTAGATGGGACTACAGATGATCATCTCGCCTTTCCAGGTCCAAAGGCTGTCCATCCTGCAGCCGGCGCCCCTCGTCGACTTCAACGGTCTCGTTGTAGTATTCTCGGCGTCATGCAGCGAGACGGCGGTTCAAATGCGCCGGTGGTGAACAAGAAACTGAATGCAGAAAGTTGTGAGACCCTGCTTACCAGGAAACTCATGCCGTAGAATCTGGCGTTGTGAGCGAACAATCGGCTCAACTTGTTCTTCGATCGCAAATGGTTTTCAGGTCCAAACAATAGCAAGAACAGTGGCGGCACTACACTGAACCTGCACGAGGGTCTCAAGCTGCCAGCTTCACGCTTCAACGCTCTGAAACGCTCTGAAACTGCGGCCGGGCATCCGCCCGAGACCTCTGCGCCGAAAAGACTTTGATCCTCAACGCGACAGTGCACCTCCGTGTCCTCCACAAGACAACCCCTATAGCCACCTAGCCAGCAAGTTTGAACGAAGCAGCGTGCATCGAACAGGGTGTTCAGCCATTTATGCGTACCTCGTTTCGCAACAGTACCTATCGGACCTATCGTTTGCTCCAAACAAATCTCAGGCTAGCTCGATGAGTAACCGCGCACATAGTCTGACCCATCATCTTCTACTTGAAGGTGCTTAGACAATGCAATATGTAAAGCCAGCTCGGCCAATAAGCAATCATGAAATCCGGTAAGAAGCAAGACTCCTGGTGGCTGATGACCTGGCATTTCACGAAGTGAGTGGGCGCTCCGAGGTCTTCGGCAAGAGACCTGGGAGGATGAGAACAGTATCAACATTGCGGCGTGCGATCAATGTAACACTGCATCAAGGCCCTGAAGCCTTTGGCATAGATAGGTTGCATGGGAAACGCTACTGCACGCGGTTGTCGTGGAATCTCATACTGGACTGCCAGAAGAGGGTCTGCAAAGAGTCACATGCTGAGAAGCGCATCCGCGCATCCAGCTTACGTTAAAGCGTATCTCAGTATCTCATTCATGTTGGTTACGTCCTTTTGTATTACGTCAAAAGCTAGCCTTGTGAACAAAGCCCCACTGAACTTGCCATGGGCTGTTCAGCAAGTCACCCTGCCACGTTTCCTCAGGAGTTCTTCCACACTTCTTGAACCCAGGCACAGATCCGGCACGGCCTGTGTGTTTGACCCGAAGGTCTCGAGTTGCACCACCTTAGACAACAACAGCGAGTGCAAGGCAATGCTGAGATTGCCAGATCCAATTAAAACAATAATTGCATGCAAAAGCCTGTTTACCTACCTGGAGCTGAGATCAACATTACAGGGGACTGTTTGGTTCGCTGGAGAACTTTCATGAACATTCTATGGTCCGGCTCCGCAATCATGAAAGTCTTTCTGCTGCTCTGCCCGGATCTCAGCGATTCTGATCCCACCTGCAGTCTCTTGAGCTCACTCTAAATGCAAACGAGCCACCATGTTGCCGTTTGCTTCGGTGCCAAAGTGCTCTCCCCGGATGGTGACTTCAAGCGCACCCACTTCAAACTCATGGCTGCGAGTGATCCTCGCTTTGGCACCATGCCCGAGCACTGCTTGAAATCCCTTTGAAGAATCCATATACTCTCGCGGTTGGCCAAGCTGCTCGAAGATACGAGGCTGATTGATTTGAAGTGCACCCTGGACAAGATTTGACGAGGTAGCATCTGGCCCGCTCTGTACCTCAGGTGACACTCGCCTTTCACCTTGCTCCAAATGCTCCAAAACAGGAAGGGCCGCCCTTGCTAGCCCTTATATCTAATTTGGCGACAAGTCACGTAAACGTTCGATTGAGACCCAAGTTGCGAGACGTTGAAGTTCTGATTGCGGAAGCACTGGATGCTGTTGTTCTCTGTGCGGATGGCCTGTGTTCCATAAATCAGGGCTCCTGCATTCTCCACTGCAGAAGTTTCCTGGCCTGAGAGCAAAGCGGCTGGTAGCCGCTGCCTGGATTTGAGACGTCTGTTGGTACTTCGGTCAACGGCGTCGCCCACACCTTCATGCATGAAGCAGAATTGAGAAGCTGGGGATCACCTGAAAAACGAGTTGCCCCATCAGCTCCTCAGTTCTTCAACCTTAACAAGTCTGTCGATACGATTCGATACGCTTGTGCTCGCATTTGCCAAGCCAGCCTGGAGGTAACCTTGCGAAACATTGTCCCAGGGAAGGTCGCCGTCTTGCAAGGCTCAAGCTTTCACACGCTTTGGCAGTTGGAGGCATTTAGGGTCATGGGGCTTGTATGATGAGGGATGATTTGACTGAAACGTGCATAATTACAGTCTTGTTTGCCAGCATCTGCCAGAGAGCGATACATGTCTCGCACAGCATGCAATGCCTTGCATCTGAGGTGGGCCATGCGTTGGGTAGAACTCCTCCCGATCCATAGACCTAAGACCCTTTAAGAGCAACCTCGTCGCCCTTCCTGCATGCGAAGCGCAACCTTTCACAACAAACAAGACTGAACACACAGGATAAATGAGTACTTGGAGACTAGAGAGCTACGGAGTGTTGTGTGGTTCCGTGGATCCCCGTCCCTGAAAATTCTAAACCGCACTAAGGCCCAAATAAATGAGTTACACACCTGACATGAACAAAACTTCTTGGGACCCAGCCAACAATGACGATGAAGGGCTCCGAGGACGACATGTCCTGGACTGGCTGCGACAGGCCTGCGGCAAAACAGAAGCCAGAATGTTCCATGCGATCACGTCTTGCAAATCTGCATACAGGCCAGTCTGTTGGGAGCTGAAACGGGGCCGCATTCTAGATGAGCCTCGCTAGATGAGCAATACTCACGTCAAGCCCGCCCTCCACAATCCAACCTCCAACTGCCGGCTGGCCGGGCTGAAGGGAGCCCGGTGGCCCGAAGGCTGCGCAGTACCGTTCCGCAAAGTAGCCTGAACAACCAATTCCGCAAGCAGCAAGCCAGAGCAAGATGATGTGCACGATAGGTAAGGTGTGCCGTGACATCAGAACCCTCAAGGCAGGGGCGCATCGCATTATGCAGCTAAGCCGCCGGTTCGGAGGATGAGGCAAACGGCAAGTTGCGCATGGCCTGGTCAGGGTCAAGCAGCTGTTCATAAGGGAGAATCAATCAACGCCTTTGTCGATGCAGGCCAGAATGCTCAAACTGAATCGGGAGCCCTAAAAACTGGTCAGCCAGCAAAGACGCAAATCAGAGCTCAGTTGGGGTCATTAGGTTGGTGATGGGAGACAGGAAGCCCTAACAGCGGAGCACAGACATCACTGGCCTGTGGGCTCCATGCTGCATGTACAGGTACCTGTTGAGACAACAACCTGAGAATTATGAGGGACAAACCACAGAGCTGTTTTTGCTTCCAGCGAGCTATATATCTGTGCAGACCACTGATTATAAAGGGGGCCCACTGAAGGAGTGAATCTCCGCTTGGCGCATGCAATTGGCGAGACACAGAAGCTGCCAGCATATTCAAGCGGCTTGCAACATCGTCAGACTACGAGTAGCTAAAACATAGCCCGCCGAGCTCACACCGTTGCAACAAACTGGCGACATATAGGGTGACATTGGACATGCTTGCCGAGCCGCCAGATCGGAACAGAGGCTTACCGCTCCAGCGGTCAGAAGAGCTTGCAGCGCGGGCTCTTGGCAATCCTTGGAAGAGCAGTAACATGCAGTAACAGATAGCCGTGCCAGAACCAATATTTCTATTTATGCAGGCATACGCTCCTCCCCCAAAAACCTGGAATGATTCCGCCTCTGCATGGGAAGTCCAACAGCAAATTTGGGGCCTGGGCCTTTTCCTGCTCTCAAGCCCACCCCGGCCAGGGAAGCTGGAGACAGCACCGTGTAGTTTGGTCTAATGCAGTGAAAGCGGCAGAGGTGGTGCAGTTTGCTGGCACGCCAGCAACGAAAATCTCGACGCTAACAGGTTCAGCCATGAACTCAATAGGAATTGCCAGGTTGGTCCTTGGCGAACAAGCTTTTTGCAGAGCAAAGACGGCGGTGGCAAGATGGCACCGAGCCTTGCGCATGGCAAGAAAAGTTTAATCTGCGGCAATCTCCTCAAACAACTGTGAGGACAGTAAGAACAAGATCTCACCCAGGTCAGCTCTGTGGGAATGCCCAGGTTGCAAACACTTGCAGTGGTAGACAACCAGGGCTCTCAATTGACTGTAACATTCTCATACACGGATGTGCTCGCAGTCAACACGTTCTCAAACCAATTCTGGCTGTCTCGGGTGAAGGAACAATGCACGCAAACAGTCCAAGCTTCCCCGACACCGCGATCCGTGTGGTTTGCACAAGGGAGACAGTGTTGTTGATCATGTTGGTTTCCTTGGCTGTTACTTCACAGGTCCAGCTTAGCCGCCTGTTGCTGCACCTGCTGCAGGCGCTGCCAACGCGGCTAAGCCATTGCTGATCTAGGTTGTGGCTAGAGTAGACGTCAGTGCCCTATACTGAGACATGACAAATCAAAAGCACTGCGCAGCAAACGGTCACACCGAGCATCAATCGAGGTCACAGTTGGCTGCTGAAAGCTGACCTTGCCACTGCCGTCGTTTGAAGGTACTTGAACAAATCTACTCCTTCAAAATCTGAAAGCTTGCAGCACTTGCTGAGTCAGACAGGCATCTGAGAACTTGGGAATCCTGTTTCAGAACCCTGAATTTCGGAACAGGCCACCACGAAGACTGTGCGAACTTCGAGCGTTGGGAAACCGCTGCCAGGCGGAGCCTGCACCTGTATGATGATGGTTAACCTCAGCGGAATCAGAGGCAAACACTTCCCATAACAGTATAACAGTGATTTCTTTGCCACAGCGTTTCTGGCATGAGGTGCGTTGCTTTACCTTTACGGCAGCAACTCACACTGCCTCTGGTCGCAGGACTCTACCAGCACAATGCACCAACTGTGAGGAAGCGGCTGACTGCCCAGCCCCACCAGGTTGGCAGCACTGAAGTTGTAGCGGGTCCTTCCATAACTGCAAAGGCACGCGTCTAATCACCTTGGGATGGTCAAGGCTTCGAGTCCTTTCAAGGAGATTCTCGGTGTAGTTCTCCGCTCCCACCAGGACCAACAGCTGAGGGAAAGGGCCAATGCGCAGCCCCAGCCTGGAAGCCTGCAAAAAGGAAAGTTGAAACTTTCTCATGGTGATATACCATGAATAAATCAGGGAATCTTCAGTGGTAGGGGGTGTGGTCTTGGGCTCGCGGGATGTACATCTGAAAGTTAGGTAACATGGTCTTTCACAGATTCTTTTGGGAATGCCATGGCTTGAGGCCTCGCCATGCCTGGCCCTCCTAACCAGATCCGAGGTGCACAAGCCTCTACTTCCTCACAGCCAGAGACACAAAAGGAACGCCGGCCTCCATATCACGCGGAGCCGTGATGACAAACTCCGCCGAAGATGATGCATCCGCTGACAGAAGTGCTGCTATGCTGGCAGACTCCAGGCGCACGTCCAGGACGCCTGCGGCAGCAAAGAAGTTAACGGGCAAAATGCCGAGTGGATAAAGCACAGAATCTCGCCTACCACTACATCCAAGATGTAGTCTTGCGGCAAGGTTTGTCCTTGGCAGGAAGCATGGAGCTCAACCAATAATGCCTCAGGCTGGAAGGCAAGAACTCCGGGTTGCAGAAAGCTCTTGTTGCGAAAGGCTGGTCCAGTCAACTGGCAACAAGATGCAACATCTTCGAATACAACACGGGACCCTGTCACAGCCATGGTTCCCTGCTGTGGAGGTTCCACCGTGAGCCGCACCTGACAACCAAAGGGCTGGGGCTGCATGGAGTACGGCCTAGGATTTCGCCTTGATCTCCATGCATTAACCTGGGAAGACCCAAAAAGACTTCATGAAAGACGGCCTGGCTCACACGGCTCCGCGGAACTTCTGGTGGGAGAAAACCGGTCGAGTCCGGAAGGGGCTGCACCAAGATTTGGACCTTTCTCGGTCACTACGTAGAGGCCAAGCTGAGTTACAGATCCAACAGCAGACTGACAGCCCTCAAAACTTAACATTTGAATCGATCCGACCTTGCAGTTGAGGTGCTTAAACACAGAAGCATGCTCAGCTGTTAAATCGGATTGAGAGGCACGCCCCAGCTCCTAAGAATTCTTGCGCAAAGAGGCGTCTGGGTCGACAGATGCAGACGCAAAGGTGCTCTGGGTGATAGCACCCACCTGAATCCTGCACAAAGGCTGCGGGGACAACGTACTAATGGCTTGTCTGCGGCTTGCCTGCACCTGCAAAGTTGGGGTCTTTTGACATAAGCAGCGTATGTCTTTTATTCTTGCCTGTTTGGTGGTGGTGGTAGGGCTGAAGGCTGAAAGGGTTTACGAGCCTCTCAGAACGCGTCAAATGCCGCGAACTACATTGCCTCCTGTGGTTGGGTCTGTTCCGCAAGGTGCAAACCTTGCGGCGAAAGAAAGCTCGTCACCCTCTCAGATCTGCAAGCCTTCTTGGGGAACTGACTGAGCTTACAGCAACAGCTCCACAAAAGCGGGAGAGCGTGCGCCCCCACTGTATTTCTAGTGATTTATAGAACTGCCATGTGAGCATGGTTTACTTTGAACATATTGATTGATTGATCGATTGATTGATTGATGAAGGCCTGTGGGCATCAGTGCTCTGCTTTCTTAGGCCAAGCTATCGGACTGCGGCCATGTTGGCAGGGAACCCGTCGCACAACACCTGACGCTTTCACTTCGAAAAGAACACAATGCAACACATTGTGGCATGACAGCCCTTGCTTCCTTGTTTCCCTCCTTCCAAATGAACCTCCCACCGCCACCTGCTTCCTAGATCCCCCTTTCCAGGTCACCACCAGGAAAAACAGGGACCAGAATCCCTTTCAATCCTTACCCCTCCTGAAGAGAGCTTCAACTTCGCTCTCTCCGCAAAGGTCACGCACGTCCTCCTTGGCAGGGTACAGGCTCAAGACTCTCTCATCAAGCTTCCCGACAGCATATCAAGTCGGCGCCGAGCATCAGCGTCCAACACCATCTGGTAATGACGAATCAGAGGATCAAACCTTAACTCAAGGCCAAAGCCCGTTGTTCCCGTTCACCGGCTAATGCTGCAAACCTTCTGCGCTGCTCCCCAACTGCAAGGCGCAGGTCAAGGATGAAGCTGAAGTAGTAGTGTAAGCCAAGATTCACTGGCGAAATGGCAGCCTCTACCGGAACCAGCACTTGGGAAACGTTCGCGACAGAAACATTGGTGTTGGAGCTGTTCACGATGGTGACGATGGTGCATACGGCCTGTCGCTGCGGCTGTGCTTGCAGATTCAAATGCCTACCGTTGAAGCTGCAGACTTCCGGACGACACCACCCCACAGACTCACACTCTTTGTTAGAGAAGAAGTTCTGAAGGGCAGGGTCCTGGACGCTGATGGCAATACCAGACAGCCGATCGTTGTTGTCCGGCTCCGTGGACAGCCCACTTTCCGACACCTCAAGGATAGGTGTTCTAAAGTTAGCTTAGGCGACGATCAAAGCCCGCACGCTAAAGCCAACAGTCTCTTCTGACAGCGCTGGACCAGAACTCAAGCAGACTTGAAACTTGAACATATATGCTTGCAAGCGCCACACGCTTTGGGGCTAGGTTGTCAAGGGAGTCTTACGAATGCAGGAAACAAAGCTGAGGTCTGATGACTCCAGCCATATATGCAAGACAAGACACAGTGGCAGTCACCACGGAGTCGCCAATGGCAGTGCCTGGCGAATAGCCCCACATGCACCCTGGACACACATCTTTTCCCGACACTCTCCCGACAAGTGGCAAGTGGCTCTGACCTTGGGAAACCTAATTTAGTAAGCCTGTGAACTCAGTCTAGGGCTTTTAAATAATGCAGGTTGGATGGCCTTACTGTCTTGGGTGTGGATTTAGAATCTTTTCCGCCCATTGTAGGACCTGCGAACAAGCCATCAGCTTCTTCCCACCTGCTGGCCAAGCTTTACCTGGAGATGGAAAAGTTGCTAGCGCCCCTGCCTGTACAAATGACCGTGTACTGCGTGAAAGGTGTGAGGCCAGTGATGCGAACCTTGGCAGCCGGCAGCCAGCTAGCTGCTTGGCTGAGGGCGTGTATTTCGCCGTGACGTTTTCTGAGCCCAAGACCTCCAGAAACTCGCGACTCCCCGTGAAGTCAAGAGGGTCAGTCTGTTGCATGGTACCTTGCAACTTATGACGTCGTCAAGCTGTTCCATGACAGGATCAACTTCCACCGAATACGACTTGCATGCTGCCTTGGCAATACTGCGTACAGAATTCCACGATTCCACGATTCAGAACTAATGCTTGGCCATCCGTTCATTTGCTGGGCTCCAGAACCCGACCAAGCAGGTGAAGCAGGGATTGAAGCTACATCCGAGTGCATACACACTCTCTTCGTTAGCTTGTTTGTTTGATTGATTGCTTTTTTGTTTCTGTTGCTTATTTGTTTCTCTGCTCGCTTGCAAATGCAAGTCATGGGGCAGTAGCATCTAGAATGGCACTGAGCCTCTCAGCAAGAAGCGTGAATAGACAGGATCAACAGGGAATCTCAACTGAGCCGCCAAGGAAGAGCAGACAGCCTTTCACCCAAGCAGTCCTAGCAGTGAAGCCTTTTTCCTTGCGCTCCAGCTGGAGAAATACGTCTTGCTCGAAGTGATCTAATCCTTCAGGGGGACCTGAGGAGCTACTTCTCCTGCCCATGTACCCCAAGACCCCCTCCCTGAGCAACCCCCAACTGAGCCGCGGAACTAGAGCCGACCAAAATCCCGCAGGTCGTCGTCATTGGAATGCTCCAGGATACTCGAACCTCGCTCAGCCAGTCTTTGTCCCGTACTCTGTTTCAGAATTTCTGCGGTCACTGACTGTGATTCAGCGGTGGCTCCAGCAAAAGAAATCTCTGGTGCCCAGCGGCAGTGAGCGAAGTTACCGTGCTGCTAAACAAGCTCCTCGGCCGCACTTATTTGAATTTGATGGCACCACATGGCTCTGGCTACTTTTGGCTTTGTCAATCTTCATTGGATGGTTGAGCGGCGAAAAGACTCTTGTCTGCTTGGCAAAGGCCCGAACCTATGAACGATGAAAGCATGGACCACGCGCATTGATGAGAATCAGACGGGTAGGCTCAGTTTAGAGCAATGGAAATGAAGACTGTGTCACTTCACATTAAGGACTACTCCCCACATTTATAAAATCCCACCGTCAGAACACAATTATAACAACCTCCACATTTGTAAAATCCACCCGAAATGTTATGTTTTTCTTTTTTTCGGGGAAACGGTCCTCGCTAAATCTAAACAGGCTTTCAAACCTACATTTTTGGCATTATCATTACGGGGCTCCCCCAGATCGGAGATAGAGCAATCAAGGGGGTGGGGGGGATTTATGAATGCGAAGTGAACATTAACGGGCTTCGCTGTACTGTAAAGGCTGGTGTCTGACTACAGCACTCTGTAGAAGGAAATCATGAATGCTGCCTGGTGTGCACACAGATACACACACTTGAAAACAAGGAAGGTAAAAGCGTCTAGACAGCGGCTGCACATGTTGCGATGGTGTTGGGAGATCGTGTCTGTAGTCTACAAGAACAGCCCCGAACACGGAATGGTCGGAGGCTTCGTGCTGCCAGCGGAGCATGTCAGCCCAAGTTGGAGCAGAAATCTCGAGACACCAAATGAACAGGAAAACTGAGGCGCAAGTATGAGTTGGCTTCCTACCCTGGCCCAAGCTTTATTCGACCGAGCATCAGCGTACCAGTGGGTGGTGGCGGCCAATAGATGAAACTCCACTCCGTCCTGGTATGGTGCCAAGCATTCAACCTGTACTGCACCATTGCTTGCAGAACAACTCAAGGATGACCTTGGCGAAGGACGGCTGGGAGCCAGCTGCGTCTGCAGAAACCCTGCCTTCGGGCAGAATCAGGATGTGGACTTAAGGCGCAGAGAATTGCTGGATGGAGTACATCAGCAAGGGAAAATCAACTTTGCGTGTGTCAACAAATTTCCTCGCGTTCGCATCGCGAAGTGTTAGCTGAAGCACTGGCTGAATCGTTCACTGCTGAAAGCCTGTAACCCAGCACTGAACAAAGTCTGTCCAACTTTCAAAGCACACGTGTGGACACCCTGGAGCTTTTTACAGCTTGACTGGCCTCCATGAGCGCAATATACGGGCACCCAGTCAGCGGACGAAGGAGGGACCCGAACTGGGCCATGAGCACCCGCGAGCTGACAAGCTCCACCTGTTTGGCAGACTCAGCCTGGCTCCACTCCAAGCGTTGCGTCCGCTTTGAGTCGCGGGCTTGCATGTTCGCTTCCGTGAGGCAAAGGGCAGCGCAGTCCACCGCAGAGCCCTGAAGCAAGGCAAAGCTGGGAACAAAGAGGGATCAACCGACAAAACCTCTTCTTCTTCTTCTCTGACTTGATCCCATCGTTTAGGCGCTTCGGTTGCTTCCGCTCGGCTTGGGTCCGCTTCGCTTGTTTCTTCTTGTTCTGCGGATCGGCGTCGCGCGGCTGCTCAACTGGCTCGGCTGCACCGATTTGCCTTAATCCTGCAGGGTGTATAGTGTATAGAGTCTCCCGCCTGCTTGAGCAGGATATTGCAAAAGAACACGATCAAA